GGCGGCGGGGTTGGTCGCGGGGCGCAGGCGCGGGGCAGCCTCCCCCTCGGCCCCTCCGCCCCCTCCTCCCCCGCCCTGGGCGGTGCGCGTGGAGAGCCAGGCCAGCCCCAGCAGCGCCGCCGCCAGCAGCGCCCCGAAGAGCGCCGCCACCTCGTCCCCGACGCCCTCCAGCAGCGCCATCCAGCCCCGCCCGGGGGAACGACGACGAGGAGGAGGAGGAGGAGGAAGAGAGGGCCCCGCCGCCTGCGCGCGCTTCCGCTTCCGCCCGCCGGGAGAGTAGACGCGCTTCCGGGAGGGCCTCCCCTGGCTTGACGTCACTCTCTCGCGCGCGCCCACTCTCCCCCCCTCCCCTCCCCTCCCGGCCGCGGGGCCTTGTGGGCGCTGTAGTGTAGGAAGGCGATGCGCTTCCGGGGGCCCCCGAGGCGGAAGTGGGTACATTTCCCCTCCTCCTCCTCCTCCTCCTCCTGCTGGGGGAATGGGGGAGGGGGAAGAGTTGCGGGTGGAGCCGGAAGAGGAGGAGGAGGAGGATGGCTTTGGGGTGCCCGCCCTGTCCCGGGGGTGGCCCTGAGGGTTAGGGGGAGACAGAGAGAGAGAGAGAGAGAGAAAGAAAGAAAGAAAGAAAGAAAGAGACAGAAAAGAAAGAAAAGAAAGAAAAAAGAAAGAAAAAGGAGGAAAGAAAGAGAAAAAGACAGAATCAGAAAAGAGAAAGAGGAAACAAAGAAAAAGACAGAATCAGAAAATAAAGAAGAAAGAAAGAAAAAGGAGGAAAGAAAGAGAAAAACACAATCAGAAAAGAGAATGAGTAGAAAGAAGGGAGGAAAGAAAAAAAGAAAAAGATAGAAAAGAAAGAAAGAGAAAGGAGGAATGAAAGAGAAAAACACAGAATCAGAAAAGAGAATGAGAAGAAAGATAGGAGGAAAGAAAGAAAAAAGAAAGGAGGAAAGAAAGAAAAAGAAAAAGACAGAATCAGATGGTTTTGGGATGCCTGCCCTGTCCCGGGGGTGGCCCTGAGGGTTAGGTGGAGAGGGGGTGGGATGAGGAAAGAGGGAAAGAAAGGAAGAAACGAAGGAAGAAAAGAAAGAAAGAAAGAAAGAAAGAAAAGAGAGGGAGGGAGGGAGGAGAAACACAGAAATATAGAAAGAGAAAGGAAGGAAGGAAGGAGGAATGAAAGAAAAGGAAAAAGAAAGGAAAGGGAGGGAGGGAGGGAGGAGAAAGAGACAGAAATATAGAAAGAAAGAAAAAGAAAGAAAGGGAGAGAGGAAGACAAAGAAAGAAAAAGAAAGAATCAGAAAATCAGAAGAAAGACAGAAAGAAAAAGACAGAATCAGAAAAGAGAAAGACAAAAGAAAGAAAGCAAAGACAAAGAGTAGGAAAGAAAGAAAAAGAAAAAGACAATACAATCAAAAAAGGAGAGGGAGAAGACAAAGAGAATGAGAACAGAAAGAAAAAGAAAGACAGAATAAGGAAGGAGCATGAGAACAGAGAAAAAGAAAGAAGAGAAAGAGAGAATGAGAAAAGGAGGAACGAGGAGAGAGGAAAAGAAAGAGAAAATGAGAAGAGAAAAAGACAGAGAATGAGAAAAGAAAGACAGAAGGGGAGGAAGGGGCCCTTCCGGACGGAGGCGGAGGTTGGGGTTCGCCTCCACACGGGTTCAAGGAGGGAGGAAAGACAGAGATGCTAGAAGAAGAAGCCGAGAACGGAGTGAGTCCCCCTTGCCCCTTCTTACCAAGACCTCAAGATTTCCACGGAAAGGAATCCGGAAAACTAAAGAGGAGATGCCAGGAAGGTGCCAAGTCCAGGACATCCAATTGTCCCTACACACTCCCGAGCGGATTTCGTGCAACCAACTGGGCGACGTGGCCGATCCAGGCGACGCCTTGGGCGCCGGAGGATGAGAAGGCAGCCACCTTTTCCGTGGGAAATTTCGGCCGGATTGATGATTTCAGGATATTTACAGCCGCCCGCCTCAAATAACGCGACCGGGCAGGCGACGGCCGCTTTAAAACGTGTCATCAGAAAACCGAAACGTCGTAAGAACCGCCCGCGTCTCCAATTGCTAAAACGCAAACATAGCCGCCCTGAGTCCTTCGGGAGAAGGGCGGGGTATAAATTAAAGTATTATTATTATTATTATTATTTGTCTTGCCCTCTCTGGGGCTTTGGAAAACAAGTTGACCCCCACTTCCTCTTTTTGGCAACCCCAACTATTGGAATCCTGCTATCGTGTGTCCCCCCGCCCCACCCCTTTTTTTTCTTAAGACCTGCCATTCCCAGTTCCCGGAGCCGTTCTGCGTATGTTTTAGTCGCCAGGCCTTGGGTCATCTTAGTTGCTCTTCTCTGCGCTTTTTCCAAAGTCGCCACATCTTTTTTTTCCCGAATGTGGTGATCAAAACCGGACGCGGCATTCCGGATGGATTTACAAAGCGGTACTAATAACTTCACACGATTTTGATTCTATGCCTCCCTTTATACAACCAAGGAGACGGAATGAAGACACTGAGGCAACGGCTAATGTTGCAGATATCCGTATATCTCCAAAGTATACGGAGCTGCTTTGGAAAACCTTCCAGGGCGTGGTGGAGGCCTGGCACACCCAGAATTGATAATAATAATAATAATAACAACAACAACAACTGCTTCCATCCTGCGACGATATCTGTAATACCATCAAACATCCACATCTGCCTATCCCAGGTCCTGGGAAAGGACTCGATAGGTAGACAAAATGCCAAATCCAGTCTGAACATCTGGCTGACTGTGTGATGATCAATAATAATAACAACAACAACAACAACAATAATAATAATAATAAAGTTGAAAGGGACCTTGGAGGTCATCTAGTCCAACCCCCTGCTCAGGCAGGGAACCCTATATACCATTTCGGACAAATGGCTGTCCAGTCTCTTCTTCAAAACTTCCAGTGTTGAAGCATTCACCGCTTCTGGAGGCAGGTAGTTCCACTGGTTGATTGTCCTCACTGTCAGGAAATTTCTCCTTAGTTCCAGATAGCTTCTCTCCTTGATTAGTTTCCACCCGTTGCTTCTTGTCCTGCCTTCAGGCGCCTTGGAGAACAGCTTGACTCCCTCTTCTTTGGGGCAGCCCCTGAGATACTGGAAGACTGCTATCATGTCCCCCCCTCGTCCTTCTCTTCGTTAAACTAGACATGCCCAATTCCAGCAACCGTTCCTTATATGTTTTAGCCTCCAGTCCCCTGATCATCTTTGTTGCTCTTCTCTGCACTCTTTCTAGAGTCTCAACATCTTTTTTACATCACGGTGACCAAAACTGGATGCAGTATTCCAAGTGTGGCCTTACCAAGGCCTTGTAAAGTGGTAGTAACCCATCACGTGATCTTGATTCCATGCCTCTGTTAATGCAGCCTAGCACTGTGTTGGCCTTTTTGGCAGCTGCAGCACACGGCTGGCTCCTATTTAGGTGATTGTCCACTAGGACTCCGAGGTCCCTCTCACAGTTGCTACTATTGAGCAAGGTACCCCCTATACTATACCTGTACATTTGGTTTTTCTTTCCTAAATGTAGAACCTTACTTTTTTCACCACTGAATTTCATTTTGTTAGATAGCGCCCAGTGTTCAAATCTGTCCAGATCCTCCTGTATCTTAAGCCTGTAACTTCTGGAGCGTTGGCTATTCCTGCCAGCTTGGTGTCGTCTGCACATTTGATGAGTTCCCCATCCATCCCCTCGTCCAGATCGTTGATGAAGATGTTGAAGAGCACTGGGCCCACAACGGAGCCCCGGGGCACCCCACTACACACTTCCGGATACCGTCCGGGCAGCTTGCTCGGCAGTGGAGCTGCTCGCTGTGATTGTTGGATTGCAGAGTTGTCCGAAGGTCAATTCTGTGGAAAGGCCCTTGGCCCCCGCCCCACCCCAGCCAAAGTCTAAGCGATGGGGGAAGGGCTGGGTTGGGTGCCTGCCTGCTGCAGGCCGCGCGCGCCCACGTTGGCTTCGAAAAGGCTTTCGGCCGTGCCGGGAGAAAAGAGCCTTTGTCCGAGAAAAAAGGCTTGGCGGAGGCCGGGAGGATCCGGGGAAAAGGAATGGCAGAGGCAGAAATGTTTCATCGCGCCCTGTCAGCCTCAGTGGGTAGAGCGGACCAGGAGGAAGGCTGAAATGACTTGGAATGGAAATTGGCTCTGATGATGGAATCTTGGATTGTTCTCCTCCTCCTCCTCCTCCTCCTCCTCCCCCCTTCTAGCATTGATGATGTTCCCTAGCTGGGTCATGAAACGTCTTCAAGGAAATCTCCCAGCTCAGAGAGCATCAGGGATCCCACAATCATCATTGTCATTGTCATCCTCCTCCTCCTCCTCCTGTCTAGCACTGATGATGTTCCCTAGTTGGGTCATGAAACGTCTGCAAGGCAACAACCCAGAGAGCAACAAGGACCCCACAATTGTCATTGTCATCCTCCTCCTCCTCTTTATGCTCCAGTGAACTAGGGAAGAACAGTGCATTGGTGTCACTTCCGGAAGTCCGTTCTAGGCCTCAGAGGCCTGGAGGCCTCCCAGGCCTAGAGCAGCCCACAGGAAGTGCATTGGTGTCACTTCCGGAAGTCCGTTCTAGGCCTCAGAGGCCTGGAGGCCTCCCAGGCCTAGAGCAGCCCACAGGAAGTGCATTGGTGTCACTTCCGGAAGTCCGTTCTAGGCCTGGTGGAGGTCTCCCAGGCCTAGAACGGCCCACCAGAAGTGTGTTGATGTCACATCCAGAAGTCTGTTCTGCGCCTCGGAGGCCTGGCGGAGGCCTCCCAGACCTAGAGCAGGCCACAGGAAGTGCATTGGTGTCACTTCCGGAAGTCTGTTCTAGACCTCAGAGGCCTGGATGAGGCCTGCGAGGCCTAGAACAGCCCACCAGAAGTGCGTTGATGTCACTTCCGGAAGTCTGTTCTAGGCCTCGGAGGCCTGGAGGAGGCCTCGGAGGCCTAGAACAGCCCACAGGAAGTGCATTGGTGTGTCACTTCCAGAAGTCCATTCTAGGCCTGGAGGAGCCCTCCCAGGCCTAGAACGGCCCACCGGAAGTGTGTTGATGTCACTTCCAGAAGTCTGTTCTAGGCCTGGGAGGCCTGGAGGAGGCCTCCAAGGCCTAGAACAGCCCACAGGAAGTGCATTGGTGTGTCACTTCCAGAAGTCCATTCTAGGCCTGGAGGAGGCCTCCCAGGCCTA